CCTCTTCTTCTTCTTCTTCTTCTTCTTCTTCTTCTTCTTCTTCTTCTTCTTCTTCTTCTTCTTCTTCTTCTTCTTCTTCTTCTTCTTCTTCCCTGCCCTTCACTACCCAAAGGTGTCTCAGAGCGGCTTACGATCTCCTTCCCCTCCCCACAACAGACACCCTGTGAGGTCGGTGGGGCTGAGAGAACTCTGACGGTAACTGCTCTTTTTCAAGGACAGCTCTTGTCAGAACTACGGCTTGCCCAAGGTCATCTAGCAGCTGCGAGAGGAGGAGTGGGGACTCAAACCCGGTTCTCCCAGATTAGAGTCCGCGCACTCAAGCACTACACCAAACCAGCTCTCAGTTTGCTCTGGAGCAATGCTCCCTCTAAGCTGTGGAGTCCTGTGAGCAGAAATCCTACTTTGTGAGCTGCTGGCATTACAGTTGTGAGCGAGCGACCTGACTACGGCATAAATGAGTGTGCTCTGGAGCCCTCCTTCCCGAGCTAAGACAAAAATGGGTGAGCCGGAGGCTAAAAAACTGTGAGCTACCTCACACTGACTCAGCTTAGAGGGAACTCTGTCTGGGTCCATTGTGCATTATTGGCCTCTGCTTTTCACACGTGTCGTTTTAATCACCAGAAGCTGGCGTGGTTCGGAGGGAAACGGCAGGGTCAAAATATTTTTAGGAAACAAACGAATAATTCTGTTGTCTCCCGCCACACTTGCTGCAGCCCAAATTCTGCAAATGGCAGCACCTCTCTCTCTTTCTTCCCGCAGGTGATCGATGCTTTATCCATCCTCTCCTGGACACAAGTGGCCCAGAGCAAGGGCTTCGTGTAAGTGCCGATGCTTTTCACTGGTGGCAGCCACCTGTGGGTGGGGTCACCAACCTCTAGGCGCTGCCTGGAGATCTCCCGGAATCACAACTGGTCTCCAGGCTACAAAGACCAGCTCCCCTGGAGAAAATGGCTGCTTTGGAGGGCGGACCGTGTGGCTTATACCCTGCTGAGGCCCCTCCCCTCCCCAAGCCCCGCCCTCTCCTGGCTCCACCCCCAAAGTCTCCAGGTATTTCCCAACCCGGAGCTGGCAGACATTTCAATGGCCCGTTTTTTCAGATGGACCCATGAAAGAGTGCTCCAAAATAAGTCTATTTATCCTGTATGCAAGTAGATAAATAGGTACCACTTCAGTGGGAAGGGAACAGCGTTCCGTGCGCCTTGGTGTTTAATCATGCCAGCCACATGACCACGGAAACGTCTTCGGACAGTGCTGGCTCTTCGGCTTGGAAACGGAGATGAGCACTGCAACCCTAGAGTCAGACTCGACTGGCTTTCGAGCAAGGGAGACCTTTACCTTTACCTTTTAAAGGTTTGATAATGCATGTATTTCAGGGCTTTAAAAAAGAGAGAGAGAGAGAGGTGCCAGACTCTCAAGAGGGAAATGAAAATTTCAATCCACATACTGTGGAATGGGTATACCTTCAATGCTCCCTCTAAGCTGTGGAGTCCTGTGAGCAAAAATTCTACTTTGTGAGCTCCTGGCATTGAAGTGGTGAGCGAGCGATTGGGCTGCCGCATAAATTAGCTTGCTCTGGAGCCCTCCTTCCTGAGCTAAGGCAAAAATCCGTGAGCCGGAGGCTAAAGAATTGTGAGTTGGCTCACACTAACTCAGCTTACAGGGAACACTGGTTGCAAGCAATGCTCCCTCTAAGCTGTGGAGTCCTGTGAACAAAAATTCTACTTTTGTGAGTGACCGGCATTAAAGTTTGTGAGCGAGTGATTTGGCCACTGCATTAGCTTGCTCTGAAGCCCTCGTTCCTGAGCTAAGGCAAACATCTGTGAGCCGGAGGCTAAAGAACTGTGAGCTGGCTCACACTAACTCAGCTTAGAGGGAACACTGGTTGCAAGCAGTGCTCCCTCTAAGCTGTGGAGTCTTGTGAGCAAAAATTCAGCTTTGTGAGCTACTGCCATTAAAGTTGTGAGGGAGTCGTTTGGCTCCTGCATAAATCAGTTTGTTCTGGAGTCCATCTTTCCTGAGCTAAGACAAAAATGTGTGAGCTGGAGGCTAAAAAACTGTGAGCCGGCTCACACTCACTCAGCTTAGAGGGAATACTGCTGGCAACCATTCCTGAGCTGAGCTCTCTGCAGGGTTTAATGGTCACAGCAAGGGAGCTGAGATGTTTGGGAGAAACCACCTCCATCCCACTATAAATGGGCCCCGGCTATCAGTACAGTTGTTTCCTTCCCCTTGCGAGCATCATCGCCTGATCCTCTGACTCATCTGTCTTCCTTTACAGGCCGTTCCCTACTGAGGAAAGCATTGCCGACGATGAGATCTACAGCGGCTTATCAGATCAGATTGAGTAAGGAACAAGCTTGCTTGAGGTGGGGGTGTGTGTCAATCCTCCATGCCCTCGGCTGCCGCGTGTCTTCTGGTGCCTTGAAGAGATGGGTAGCAGTAGAAATTCAGCGGGTGAAACTTTTCCCATCATCGCTGGGATTTCTGTTGCTCACCCAGTGTTGGAAACACTGTGATGCGATGGCAAAAAAAGGCAAATCCAGTCTTGGGTTGTATCAGAAGGGCCATGGTATTGAAATTGCAGGAGGTTGTAGCCCCTCTGTAGACCGCCTTGGTCAGGCCACACCCTGAGTCCTGTGTGCAGTTCTGGAGGCCTCACTTCCAAAAGGATGTGGGCAAAATCGAGAGGGTGTGGAAGAGAGTGACGAGGATGATCAGGGGTCTGGAGACTGAGCCCTGCGAGGAAAGGCTGAGGGCCCTGGGAATGTTTAGTTCCCCCAGAGGGCCCCCCCCCCCGCCTGCACCGACAGAGTAGGGATGAGGCCGGCTGGCTTGCCCCGCCGCCTCCAGCACGCGGTGGGGGGAGGCGGAGCCTGGCTTCCAGGGAGCTGCCGCGCTCTCCTTTACCAATGCGTGGGGGGGGGCCCCTCCGGCGGCCTCTCTCTAGGTCTCGTTGTCTCTCTTCCCGCAACGGGCCTTGCACCTAGTAAATAGATAAAACATAACAATAGCTGTTGCAACACCTCTCCTCCCTGAGGCATTGGTCTCATCCCCTCTTCAAGGCAGTTGCCACCTCCATAGGTTGGACTAGAATTAGATGGTCTGTATGGCCCCTTCCAACTCTATGATCCTAGGATTCTATGACTTCCCTGGGGAGGAAAAAGGAGGAGGAGGAAGACTGGAGCGTGTTGCCATCCTACCTGTTACGAAAGAGAGAGACAGAAGATTGCTTGTGAGGAATGTGGCCAGCCAAAGTTGACCCGACCTTTAGCCAGTCATTGAGGGCTTCACTAGGAATGTTGCCACCCTCCAGGTGGCACCTGGAGATCTCTCGCTATTACAAGTGATCTCCAGATGACCAAGGGTCGTCGCCCTGGAAAGAATGGCTCCTTTGGAGGGTGGATGGCGTGGTGTTCTCTCCTGCTGAGGGACATCCGCTCCCCTCTTCCAGCTCTTCTCCAGACTCTTGCGTGCATCATTCAGATGTCCTTCCATTGAGAGTTGCTGAGCCGCCTTCACTTGCAGGTCTTTCCTCTCTCTGGTTTTGGCAAAGGGCTCCTGAAAGCCCACCCCTGAACTCAATGTTCCTGTGAGAGCCCCATTTTCCTTCCAGAAGGGCTCCGAGGCCCAGTGGGCTGGCCCCTGGTCACTGGTGGTGTTATGTGTCAGCAGGGCTATTTTGGGGCAGGAACGCACAGGGACGGAGTTCCGGCTGGCTCCCGAGTTGGCCACACCCAGCAGGAACTCATTAGCATAATAGGCCACACCCAACAGCAGAAACTCATTAGGACTGCCTACATTAGGGGTGTGTGGCCTAACATGCAAAGGAGTTCCTGCTCCAAAAAAAGCCCTGGGTGTTGACAACAAACAAGGTAAATGGAATAAGAAGCAAAAGGTGGGTATGGCTGGATGACCACACTTCTGGTAACATGGGGGTGTGGCCCAATAGGCTAATGAGCTGTGCTGTCAGGGGTGTGGCCTAATAGGCTAATGAGTTCCTGCTGTTGGGTGTGGCCTATTATGCTAATGAGTTCCTGCTGGGCTTTTTCTACCAGAAAAGCCCTGTGTGTCAGAACTATATACCAGAGACTGGCTGAGCCTGGAGCTCTAGAGCAATAGCCCACATGGACTCTGGAAGTGACCAGTGAGAAACCTCTGTTATGTAAATAGCCTATCGTTGGGAGTGGGGTGTGTTTGGGTGTGGTTTATTGCATTTCGCCCTGTGGGGTGTGTTTGGGTGTGGTTTAGTGCTTTCGCCCTGTGGTTTCGGTCTCGTTCCTGAAATCACTTAATAATGTAGAGCTGTTCACTGCAATGCATTTTGAACCCAGCATGGAATAGGTGCTCTGACATTAGCCGTTAGATGTGGAGGAGCTTGACCTCCATAGGCTGGCTCCAATGCTCCCTCTAAGCTGTGGAGTCTCGCGAGCAAAAAGTCTACTTTGTGAGCTCCTGGCATTAAAGTTGTGAGTGAGCGATTTGGCCTCTGCATAAGTTAGTTTGCTCTGGAGCCATCCTCTGTGAGCGAAGGCAAAAATGTGTGAGCCGAAGGCTAAAAAACTGCGAGCCAGCTCACACTCACTCAGCGTAGAGAGAACATTGGCGGGCTCCAGACCTGACATCCTGTGAGCGAGCAAAGCTGTCTTCCTTCTTCCTAGACCCAGTCCTTGGCTCACTTCGGGAGGCCGAAAATCGACGGAGAGGTCAAGGTCGTGGGTGGAGAGAAGCGCTCCAAGATGGACAGGTGACGACGCATGGCAGGCCTCCTAGCGCGGATGGGAATGAAGGGAGGAAGCAGAGGCCTGGTGCTATGGTTACCAACCTCCCTGTGGGGCCTGGAGGTCTCCCAGAGTTACAGTTGACCTCCAGGTTACCAAGAGCAGCTCCCCTGGAGGCAATGGCTGCTTTGGAGGGTGGGCTCTGTGGCATTTTACCCTGCGGAGGCCCCTCCCCTCCCCCAAGCCCCGCCCTCCTCAGACTCCACCCCCCAAATCTCCAGGAATTTTCCCACCCAGAGCTGGGTACCCTCTCTCTAGCTCAGCTTTGCCGCCTTTTCTCAAGGGAAGCTTCTCTCCAGGTACGCTTTCCTCCTGGACAAGGCCCTCCTCATCTGCAAGCGGAAAGGGGATTCGTTTGAAATGAAGAGATTTGTGGACCTGCACAACTACCAAGTCCGGGACGATTCTTCTGGAGAGAAAGACAACAAGAAGGTAATGTTTTCGGTTCACCTGGTCCCAGGAGGAGTTTGGGAGGTGAGCGGGGGTGGGGGCGGGACGTCCCTCCCAGAATGAAGCCCTGCTTCCTTTTGCAGCACGTTGCCGGCTCCCAGTTGGGAAATACCTGGAGATTTTGAGGAGGGCGGGGTTGGGTGGGCGGAGGGACTTCCATGCGGGTCTAATGCCATAGAGTCCACCATCCGAAGCAGCCATTTTCTCCAGGGGAACTGATCTCTGTCGGCTGGAGATGAAGAAGAAGAAGAAGAAGAAGAAGAAGAAGAAGAAGAAGAAGAAGAAGAAGAAGAAGAAGAAGAAGAAGAAGAAGAAGAAGAGGAGGAGGAGGAGGA